AAGGAGGTGCGACAGGAGATGTCACTAGGGGCGGGATTTGCAGGGGAGGGGTTATTTGCGGGCGACGAAAGAAGTACCTAGCACACTTCTGCGCACCTTCAAGCGCGATGTGCGACCTCCGTGAGCAGCTCTACCCCTATTCACCGAAAATATTGCTATCTGGGTTAGACGTGGTGTGTGCCTTTAAGGCCCAAAGATTCGGAAAGTCAGGGCACTTCAACCTTCGAAGTGAACTGGTTTGAGTGGGAAAAATAATGCACGGAAAATCGTTCCGTTGAATACCTCTGGGCACTAAAGGTAATAGTAGATTGAAAGTTATCAAGCTTCTTTCAGTGAGAATTCTTATTTGGTCTCCTTCGACCGACATCTCCTTGTATTGGTTCTATCCAACAGCCATCGTCACAGGTCTCATGGGTGACTTCTTTCTAACGATGAGTTGCGTAAATGCATATGTTGCTGATCGATTTGATGACGAAAAAGTTGTGAGTTTTTCGTTTCTGATTTCGATTAATTTCTGTTTATTAGCTGCTGTTTCAACGCCGCAGCTCGCAGTGTGAATGATTCACAAGAATGCTGAGTTATGGACAAAGTTAACAATCAAAAACAAGTCAAAATTAATTGCTCAAGTTTTTAGCCTCGCGGTTCATTGCCGATGCAGGCTAACCAGCTCACCACGTTATGCTGTGTGAGTGCTGATAACCTGTGATAAATATGCCACAAAAAGCTGAATAGAGTGAAACGGTGCACCGGTAACGTGAATTGTAGCGTAGTTGCTATTCAAAGGCAAGCCCCGGGGGATAAAACCGGTGATAAGAGCGCTTCGTAGCAGTGACTGAGCTGCGGGATGTCCTGGAAGTGGAAAGGAAAGCTAGAGAAATCTTTGGGATCGCTGAAATTAAGGCCTTAACCTTCAAAAAGGTCGGATGTGGAACGATGGCGAGGCAGGACGGTCAAAGAAGACAAAACACACGCGAGAGATCACGCCACTTCGAGAGAGCACGAACCGCAATCGGGTTGGGTGGGAAGCGTTGCTACGGGGGTCGATGGTTGCAGGCCCATAAGGATTAACGCCCGAATCGCGCAACTTTCGCGGCGAAACTGGAGTGATCTAAGTAGGGGACCATGCAATCTCACGGTCTCCTTCCTACAAGCAGGGCTAACCCCCGGGTTTGCCTTTAAGCGAGAGGTGCGGGTTCGAGTCCCGCCTTGGACAAAAGATTTCGTTCATAACCCAGCATTCTTGTCAAATGCTGCGTTTATGTTCTTTATGAGCGCCATTGAGAAGAGTCACACATTCAACTTTCATCAGTCTTTTTATTGGATGCGCCACGTGTTTCACCTTCGATTAAAATTGTAGTAGCGTTTGAATGCGATCCGACTTATACATAAGCGGCAATTTGCAGGGATTATGTAGCCAATGAAGAATTTTGTGGTTTTATCCTTTCTGATAACCCTGGAAGAACAATTATCGACCTCATAGGGCTGAAATGTGTAGTTGGCCTGGGGGAATTCTCTCTCAGAATTTGCACGTAGGAGTCGCGCGCCACTTGTTACTACACTTTACTTCCTGCTCCTCACTATGAGTAAATAGCGGAAAAATAAAATGTAAGGAATTGAAATTCTTCTGATAATATCAAAACCTCGTTTTAATAGTAAATAGTAAATAGTAGTAGGAGTGAATAAAAGTAAGTAGTAAGTAGTAAAATAGTAGAAAATAGTGGATACTAGCGATTAATAGTGAATAGTAAAAAAGAGTGAATAGTAAAAGATAGCGAAACAATTGAATGTGAGGAATTGAAATCTTTTAATAATATCAAAACCTCAAAATTCTTGTTGTATAGAACATTATAAAATTATTTCTTGTATTCAATAATCCAGTCACTTCTCAGCTATCGACAAGGATGATTGTTGTGTCAATAATGTTCAGCCTTGGTGCCTTCATCGCCTCTCAGAGCACAAAAGCTATATTGAATGGAATATCATCAACAGCTTTGCTTGTAATTGTAGAAGGTGAGTAGCAGTGTGCGCTACGTGTCATAAAAATGTGACAGTTAGCACGTTCCTTCCCCCCTCTCCCTTTCTTTTTTTTCACAATTTTTGTAGAATTCCTATTTACGTCCGTCCCGCCTAGAAACCTAATTAGAAATAGGCTTTTAGAGAGGGTCTATGTATAGTTCTATGGCTGAAACAACAAAAAAGATAAAGTTTCCTTCAAGTTCCCTAAAATGTTCCGAGTGAGCATTCGGGAGAATTCTAACTCATCCTTAAGAAATTCAAAAATCCTCCCACAATTCTCTTCCCACCTCACCAATACGGCTCCTCTTTTCCAACGCAAAATGCGGCCGCGCTCCCGCGCCTCGAAGGATCTTTGACGTTTGCTCATCTTAGTTTTGCTTCACCAGCAAACGTTCTTAATTGCCAGATTTTCGGCCCCTAGAGTTCAGCGTAGACGATAGGGGAAGATATCAGAAGGTCGGTCGCCACTTGATAGAACCAACAGGGAACACCGTCGCGCGAGAAGTCTTACCTCGACAGGGTCAACCCTATGTTGCTACAAGTAGCAACGGGGGGTCGTATTTTGATGAGTTTGTAGAGGGGGGGGTCGTACTTGCTTCGGTTGTAAGAAGTTGCATGTGATGAGTGGGGAGCGGCGCGGGAGAAAATTTGCCGTTTCAGCGCGCGTATATACCCCCTAGAAGAAAATGGAGCAGTTGAAATATGGGTAAAATACAGGGAAATTGTAGGGAAATGTAGGGAATTTTTGCGGTTTTATGGTAAGTATATTCCCGCCCGCGCACCTCCGGTGCGAAGGTAATTTTTGGGGAAAAATTGTTTCGAAAGAGGAGTCGTAAAGCTTTGAAAAGTAAGCAACGATAGGACCGACCCTATTAAAAACCGAAGACTTTTCCTGTTCCAGTTCTTGAATCCTTGAAAGCACACACCATGATCAGATTGGTGGGATAATTCCGTTCGAATATAATGAGTGGAGATCCTGGACCGCTATTAAAGGAAAGAGGGCGAGTAACCCTGGATACGCCTAATATAAGGGCTTTCTCTTCTGTAGGCAGTTCACGGATATGTGGTTCAGGCAAAAGTCAGAAAAATGAGAGCCACTGTGCGCTGAGGCGAGAAACATGCTCTGAAACGAAGGAGGTGCGACAGGAGATGTCACTAGGGGGCGGGATTTGCAGGCGAGGTGTTATTTGCGGGCGACGAAAGAAGTACCTAGCACACTTCTGCGCACCTTCGAGCGCGATGTGCGACCTCCGTGAGCAGCTCTACCCTATTCACCGAAAATATTGCTATCTGGGTTAGACGTGGTGTGTGCCTTTAAGGCCCAAAGATTCGGAAAGTCAGGGCACTTCAACCTTCGAAGTGAACTGGTTGAGTGGGAAAAATAATGCACGGAAAATCGTTCCGTTGAATACCTCTGGGCACTAAGGTAATAGTAGATTGAAAGTTATCAAGCTTCTTTCAGTGAGAATTCTTATTTGGTCTCCTTCGACCGACATCTCCTTGTATTGGTTCTATCCAACAGCCATCGTCACAGGTCTCATGGGTGACTTCTTTCTAACGATGAGTTGCGTAAATGCATATGTTGCTGATCGATTTGATGACGAAAAAGTTGTGAGTTTTTCGTTTCTGATTTCGATTAATTTCTGTTTATTAGCTGCTGTTTCAACGCCGCAGCTCGCAGTGCGAATGATTCACAAGAATGCTGAGTTATGGACAAAGTTAACAATCAAAACAAGTCAAAATTCATTGCTAAAGCTTTCAGCCTCGCGGTCATTGCCGATATCGGCTAACCGGCTCAACACGTTAGACGTGTGAGTGCTGAAAGCTATGGTACGTATACCATGAAAAGCTGAGTTGGAATGAAATGGTGCCCCGGTAACGTGAATTGTAGCGTAGTTGCATTAAAGGCAAGCCCCGGGGGATAAAACCGGTGATAAGAGCGCTTCGTAGTGATGACTGAGCTGCGGGACGGCCTGAAAGTGGAAAGGAAAGCTAGAGAAATCTTTGGGATCGCTGAAATTAAGGCCTTAACCTTCAAAAAGGTCGGATGTGGAACGATGGCGAGGCAGGGCGGTCAAAGAAGACAAAACACGCGAGAGATCACGCCGTTCGAGAGAGCACGCCGATATCGAGGTGGGTGGGAAGCGTTGCAACGGGGGTCGATGGTTGCAGGCCCGTAAGGATTAGCGCCCTAACCGCGCAACTTTTGCGGCGAAGCTGGAGTGATCTAGGTAGGGGACCTTACAATTTCTCACGGTATCCTTCCTACAAGCAGGGCTAACCCCGGGGTTTGCCTTTAAGCGAGAGGTGCGGGTTCGAGTCCCGCCTGGGACAAAGATTTCGTTCATAACCCAGCATTCTTGTAAATGCTGCGTTTATGTTCTTTATGAGCGCCGAATTGAGAAGAGTCACACATTCAACTTTCATCAGTCTCTTTTATTGGATGCGCCACGTGTTTCACCTTCGATTAAAATTGTAGTAGCGTTTGAATGCGATCCGACCTATACATGAGCAGCAATTTGCAGGGATTATGTAGCCAATGAAGAATTTTGTGGTTTTATCCTTTCTGATAACCCTGGAACCAATTATCGACCTCATAGGGCTGAAATGTGTAGTTGGCCTGGGGGAGATTCTCTCCCAGAATTTGCACGTAGGAAGTGGCGCCACTTGTTACTACACTTTACTTCCTGCTCCTCACTATGAGTAAATAGCGGAAAAATAAAATGTAAGGAATTGAAATTCTTCTGATAATATCAAAACCTCGTTTTAATACAGTATAGTATAATTAGGTCGTCTATAAGTCTTCGCAAACAAACTACATTTGATGCTATAAAAATTCAGGGAGAAACTCCTGAAAATCCGCAACATATTTCCTGACGTAGCATCAACCTTTGCAATTTCAGCCAACGGTCCAGCTCGTTGTCTGCTTACTTATTATGGATATTACACCGATTTCGCGAGAGGGCTCTCGATGCCCTTAATTTTTACGAGTACTGCTTGGAATGTTCCGCAAGTCATGCTAGACCAAGGATTGGCCAGAAGATAGGCGAGGGCAAGCTCTCTCAAACCACAGTGCAACGGCGCTTCACTCTGCTCAGCGTTGACTTTTTTTATTTGAAAATAACCCACACTCCAACCACCCTGTGACTGACAATCACGATGCTATATCTGACGGCGTTGAAAAGGGATCTGGATAGAGTATCGATCATTTGCTAGAGCGATTCCGATGCGACAAGGAGACAGCACTGTGGCATCTCCAAAGACTTGTGAAGATCCGAAAATGTAGAGTTTGGTCCCCACGTGCCTTGAGCCCGATTCAGCTCCAAACACGATCTGACACCGTTATGTTCAAGTCGACTTACTAGGGATTCTACGATTGACCATCCATCACATTTGCCGAAGATGAGGAGTGGGTACAGTTTACTAACAAATGAACAAGCGGCGGTAGTCCAGCTCAAACGCTTCGGGAGATCTTATTGCTTAAGTTCAACCTCGTCCAAGTAGGGCCTTCTCGGATTTTTGGTGGAACACGGGAGGAGTTAAGCTCTGGAAACCCCTCCGTGTAGATGTCGCAGTCAACGCGAAAGTCAACTATCCACAGCTCGAATGCAACGCTTTTAATACGAAAGAAAAACAAGGCAAAGTTTGCTTTTGTATGACACCGTTGAAAAACCTCTTGCTAAGAAAATTCAGGAAAATTTCGAGACTCTGGGACGGAGAGTTCTTCCGTATTCACGTTATAGCCCTGACCTCGAGGCAAATAATGCCCTTCTGCTCCCCTCTCCAAACCATCTCCTAGAGAAGAAAGCTCATCCTAACTATGATGATGTCAAAATCGACATCTGATCTTTCTTCGATCAGAATTCAGTAGAGTCCTACAAGGGAGGCATCGAGCAGCTACTAGTGTGTTGGCAATAGGTTGTAGATATTGATGGAGGGTAGCATGCCGGATGAATGGAACAAAAAGATAATGAAAATATTAAATTCAAAATTCGGCCAGTTTGTTGCAAGACTTATGGACCGACCTAATAAATCGAAGTACATAAGTAGTGAAAAAGTGAGTAGAAGTATAATATGTAAAAAAAGTGATACTAGACGATATAATGTGAATAGTAAAAAAGAGTGAATAGTAAAAGATAGCGAAACAATTGTGTGAGGAATTGAAAAATCTTTTAATAATATCAAAACCTCAAAATTCTTGTTGTATAGAACATAATTATTTCTTGTATTCAATAATCCAGTCACTTCTCAGCTATCGACAAGGATGATTGTTGTGTCAATAATGTTCAGCCTTGGTGCCTTCATCGCCTCTCAGAGCACAAAAGCTATATTGAATGGAATATCATCAACAGCTTTGCTTGTAATTGTAGAAGGTGAGTAGCAGTGTGCGCTACGTTGTCATAAAAATGTGACCTAGTTAGCAACGTTCCTTCCCTCTCCCTTTCTTTTTTTTCACAATTTTTATAGAATTCCTATTTACCTCGTCCTGCCTAGGAAACCTAATAAAAAATAGGCTTTAAGAGAGGGTCTATGTATAGTTCCATGGCTGAAGCACCAAAAAAGATAAAGTTTCCTTCAAACTCCCCAAATGTTCCGAGTGAGCATTCAGGAGAATTCGAACTCGTTCCTTAAAAAAATTCAAAGATTCTCCCACAATTTCTCTTCCCACCTCACCAATACGGCTCCTTTTTTTCAATATAAAATGCGGCCGCGCTCCCGCGCCTCGAAGGATCTTTGACGTTTGCTCATCTTAGTTTTGCTTCACCAGCGAACGTTCTTAATTGCCAGATTTGGCCCCTAGAGTTTCAAAGCTGTAGACGATAGGGGAAGATATCAGAAGGTCAGTTCCCACTTGGATAGAACTCACAGGGCACCCGTTGCACGTAGAAACGTTTTCCCACAGGTCAACCCTATGTTGCTACAAGTAGCAACGGGGGGGGGTCGTATTTTGATGAGTTTGTAGGGGGGGGTCGTACTTGCTTCGGTTGTAAGAAGTTGCATGTGATGAGTGGGGAGCGGCGCGGGAGAAAATTTGCCGTTTCAGCGCGCGTATATATCCCCCTAGAAATGGAGAAATTGAAATACATGGAAATTGTAGGGAAATGTAGGGAATTTTTGCGGTTTTATGGTAAGTATATACCCCCCCCCCCCGCTCGACGGTAATTTTTTGGGGTAAAAATTGTTTTGAAAGAGGGGGTCGTATGAAACATTTCATGAGGGAGGGGGGTCGTAAAAACTTTTTGAAAAGTAGCAACGATAGGACCGACCCTGTTCCCGAAGTTGGATAACGCTATGTGACTGCACTGCATGCTACTGTGCATGACTACTTCGCCAAAAACATGGTCTTGACTGGTGATAATCTTGTCTAGGTTTGCTGTTCGCTACTTTCATTGCTGGTATACTCATCCTATCACAGAGCAGACCAAAAAAGAGATTAATTGATATCGATGAACAAGAAGAACAGAGGGAAGTGCAGAGGTAAGATATTGTGATTTTCTGAAAATCCGTACCGAGCAAAAAAGCGCATACAAGCCTTTTCGGAGGCATGTTACTCTGTTAGTATGTTGGAAGAACCCCTTCTGCGCCAAGGAACGCCAGAGGTACTAACATTCGGTCCGAAAACACACTGCAAAGTTGCGCCTAAGCCTCCGGCCGCACACTACTGTGGATGGGGGCAGTGTCTGCGCCTCAATCGTCCTTGTATTCCCTCATCTTGGCTTACACCTTTTTCCTCTTTCGCTGCATTTTGAAGAAACTCTCATTTTTGGTGATTTTGACGTTTCCTGCACCAAGGGACTACATTGCACCGCTGCTTTTTGGCTTGGGAACAATACATACTTCCACTTAGTAAATATATCAAGGAGCGTGCTTTTGTAATGCGCATTTGGTTGGTGTTTCCTTAAAGAGATGAGATGACAGATCTCACTACTTATAGCACCAAAACTAAAACCGATTCAGTTGTTCCGATGTCATATGCCGTTCCTTTTGACTGTAGGGTTTTCTGATTTTGTTGATTTTTTTCGATGATTTTGATGCCATTTGTGAGCCCTTGATCTCCCTAATCGCCCATTCATCTTGAAACCTTCGCATATTCGCCTGAATATGGAGCTTATACGGCAACAAAAAAATTGCTTATGTTGCGTGATTTTGAATTAAATTCGAAGCAAATGCTACTGAAGCAGCTCGCAGAATCAGTAAATCACCTTAGCGAAGAACGGTTGGAGACGAAACTGCTCATGAACCTTTTCCGAGCATGAGAACGCACCGAAGATTTGAGTCAAGAGGAAAAGTAAGTCATCCACATGAAATCGACCGAGGAATTGCTTCGATGGAAGTCTCTTTGTTCACGTTCAAGCGCTATACTGTAATACGTGTATACTAAATATATTACAACTATCACATTGCGAAATTGCGGAAGATTGTGAGCTTGGAATGATTTCAAAACTGCTCAAGAATAGTCAACAAAATCAGAAAAGCCATTATCTAAATTTAACTGCGAATAATTTCGGGTCGACTTAGTACGGTCCCAGGTTCCATTCTAGGTGATCACTGAGTGTACGTCCAGTTGAGTTACTCTTCAGAACCATGTGAATTTGATTAGTTAATGTAACACATTGGTAGTCTCGACTGAGTTCTCTTGACTGATAAATGACTTCGATAGGGTCTAAATAACATAAGGTGCTCAGAATAATTAGAGTAACACCATAACCTTTTCGTCTGCTCCAACACTGTCGCCATTCCAAATTCAAGATTGCACAGGACGGTGAGAAGAGCTCATCTGTCTCGAGGCGCCCAGTTGAAGGAAGAGGAAGGTTTGCTTCAACTTTGTTAATTTCTCAAACTAAAACCCATAGTGAAGATAGCTCTTTTCCATTTCATATCTCGAGTGACCTGCTTGTTTTTTGTATAATACTGTAATCACAACGCTGTTCTTTCCATGACCACTCTGAAAGTTACCGTTAGCAGAGAGGATGAGTGAGACGTCGAGGAGACTGTGGTCAATACAGTTCCAACTCCTTCATCTTCCGATGGTGGATGATGCCAAAAGTATCAATCCCGGCACTACGTGACAGACCCCAACCACGTCCTACTATGAGGATGCACGATGAGGAGCACTTCAACGGGTTGTACCCTGGTTCTTGTAGCTCTTTGGTGGTTCACTATCTTATTGTTAGACCAGTGTGAATGGGTTACAAGGATGTCGGATAAGAGGGAAATCGAGGCCGTGGAAGTGAACTCAAACCCGCTTCTATGATTTCCGCTAATTTGTTTACACGTTACACCCTCGATACCTCATGTCTCCGCCCTCACTACAATCTAAACAGAAATATGGAAGCGATCGAATAAATTGCTTAAATACAATTCGTTGAAGGTGGTCCACAGGCCGTAGAGTAGACGGGCGCAGTTGACGGCTAGGTAGGTTTGAGCATTGAGAAAAGGGCGTGGCCATGGAGGAGGAAGATCGGGTTGCCAGCTGGAAACAGTAAGGATGTGGTAGGAAGTGTGAATGCGTGAAGGAGATTCAGGATCGGTTGAAGAAGATGCAATTTACTTTTTCTCTCTTGAGCTCCTTGAACCTTACTCTCAGGCACTGATCCGACGGCTGAAAGGCGAGGTAGTTTTGATGAAGTCAGTGGCTTCATTGGAGGAGGGGCCTTGAGGAAGCCCCAACCATGTCCCCCAACGCGTCGAGGGGTATGGTCCATCAGTGACGTCCAATGACGTCATCAATCAGCTCCACCCTCTGCCGACCGCCTGCACTGCCTTTAAGTCAATCATTTGCAGGCATTGCTTTCCTTTGGAACGAAATCGTCTAGTAATATTATATGATCGATCGGAAAACATTTTATTTCTAGTGCTAGCTGTTTGGAATTGACGAAGCTATCATTCTATTCTATATATGAATCAATGAAGATTTTCGTCATTCCACGTGAAGGACATCGACGACTTTTTCTTTACTTGTCATTTGGTGCTAATTTCCTTGATCAACTATCTTTTGGTGAAGAAAAAAGTAAGGCGGAAATGGAGTTGCTCGAAATTCTTTTTGTAAGTGATGTGTATTACTTTTAAGGCCTGATCGGCACCTATACTCTTCTGTCGCCATTCAACTGGACCAAAGACGAGTACGCTAATTACAAATCTTTGAGGCCCATTGTTCGTGAGTTTAGGCCTACGCGCTTCCCACACGTTCTGGAAATTCAAAAGTAGTTTTTCTAACATTGAAATACCATTTTAGCGAGATAACGCTAAACTATCCTGCATGTCCCATATCCCATGGTCTGCAGATTGATAAAGTGTGTTTCAGAAATTGTCGGCATGTTTTTTGGAATATTCGCCCTGCTGTATGAAAAAACCTAGACTTTAGGTTTAATCTAGGTTCTAAAATAACCAAAGAGTAAATGGACTTCCACTTTGGGCTCAAAGAAAACAGTTGTAGTTCGCTTGAAAACACTTAAAAACGAAGAATTTGTGAAATATCCTGCTCGTCGTATCTGATTCTTATGGATCCAATCGTTTTGGGCACGTTCTACTCCCTTTTTCTCCATACCAACTTATTTTGAACAATTTTCGTCCCTTCCTCCCTTTTTATGGCCCTTTCCCTTTTTTTGCAAAACAGTTTTCTGTCAAATTAATCTTATATATTCTTCGAGACATGACAAAGACATAAACGAGACAAAATAATGGCTTTAGTGGGAATACAGATTAAATATATGATATTTATGCTTGCCGCGCAGCATGCGGCCGTGAGCGCAAAAAGTGCGCGGTCCGGAAAGGGTTAAAACTAAAGCTTAATA